CTACTCTCTTGCATGTTTAATAAGATTCTTGTCACTAGTAATAGGTTTTGATGGTGATCTGAATGGATTTGATCGCAATACTGTTTGGTCGTTACGTGGAACCTTGATTGAATGCAAGAATCTCTGATTAGTTTAAGAAACATAGGGTAGAGATAGAAGACATGTCATGTTATCAACAAGATATCTTGATTGGATGTTCTCAAGTTATGTCAAGTTATGTGCTTTTTTTAGGTTCAACAAATAATTTAAGTGGCCTTTTGTTCTAAAAGATGTAACATTGTTTGCTTTTGGTATGAGAAGACAGTATTGCTTCCTAAGCTCCTGGGCTATGCACGTAACATTAGTATACAAGCCATGACTTTCCTATATGTGCCAAGGATTATTGTTTGCGCATAAAATATTTTAGGTATTAGAGGAATATAGGAGCAGTCGAAAAGTTAGTCTCCTGGTCATAAAAATGGAAAGTCTTACAGGTTTATCATATGAAAGAAGACCCTTGAGTAATAAGAGACATAATAATTTATTAATTAATCCAAGCAATGCTTACCACCTTTAGTATGTATAAGGAGAGTAATAATCATCCCTTGTTTCTTTTTATTTCATCTGTCAAACATGTAAAATATTTGTGTGTTTTTGTGTCTTGTGAGCAGGTCTGGGCTCTAATTGTACCACGTTTGGATTATCGAATCATTATGTTTGAAGCATGCTCAAAACTTAACGATTGCTTCCTTAAGACTAGCCATTTTCCTTTATGGTGCCCACCAATTCTGAGTGATCAGAAATTCGCTAAAAATTGTACTAAATTCTACATCAGAACAGTTATTATGGTCAATGGTGCAAGCTTTATCTAAAACTCAGCTTTTCAGCATTTTTATGATTTTGTATTGCTCATTATACTTTGTACTTAACATGTAAATTAGTCTTTTAGTTTTTTCCCCTGTTTTGAAAGGTTTCCTTTCTCCCCCAACTTAGTAGTTAGAGCAATTTGTATCATTGTTGTAGTGATTCACTTGGATGGATATTTCAAAAATTCTGATACATTTGATTCGTGGTTTTTATGGGACACATAACACATTTCAATTCCAAAACAACAAGGACATGCATTTCTTCTCATGCAGACAACCAACTGGCGCAAATGCTAAAAGGGTTTAGCGTACTGCTAGACATGGTTTCTGCTATAGAACAAGAGGAGATGAAAAAGTCTATGATCAATCTCAACATGTTGGGTATGAGACACTGCTGACTTTTAAATAGACCAAGTGGGGGTACTGTTGACTTTTAAATATACCAAGTGGGTAAGGAGATCAACACCAACTGGATCATGTATGAATTTCATCTCAAGCCTCCTGAGAACAGTAACAAGTTTGAGAGCATGGTGCTCTGCAGAATTCACTTGAATAAAACCAAGAAAGATAGTGAAGGGTGGGCAGACGCAGAGTCTGGAGTTGCGGCTATTATGAACAAGAGAACAAGGAACAACATCAGCAGTAACAAATGTAAAGGAAAGGCCTCAAAAGAGGAAGGGGACGGAGGCTTCGTCATCATTACCGTCTACGTCATCATCACTCTCTGCATTTGTTCCCTGCAAAGAAACAGAAGCCTTCAATCAGTTGATTTCAACATTGGATGAGAAGCGGCATACTGTTTTCGATCAAGAGGAAGAAGTGGATGAAAGACAGGTGATAGAGATGTTGCCTAAGGAACACGAAGCGATGACAAATCATTCTATGGCAGAATCTGGTGTTGCTACTCCTGTTTATGAACAAGCGGCAAACTATGTACAGGACATACTTCGAAAGAGGAAGTGGGCTGAGGGATGCAGTGACTTTTATGATACTGAGAACCATTCTACAATTAATTTGGAGGCATCTTCTTGGCCCTTGTCATCGTCTCCGTACTTATCATCATCATGGCTTTCCTCTCCTGCTTTAGATTCTTATGAAGCATCTTCCTCATTGATGAATACTCTTCCACCAACATCACAGGAGGATGGGACATGGGAGGAATTGGGCATTGATGAGCTGATGGAATGTTTCACTCTCTTGAGTTCTTAATAGTAACTGTTGTATTGTCATTTTTTGGTAATAGAGTTTCTTTTTTTCTTCCATTCTTTTCGCTGGGTATAATCTGGTTTGTTGTATATTATTTTGTTTCTCCTGTGCTTAATGCTTATAGTTATGTTGTCTCGAGAGAATTGTTTAGATTATGATAATAATTATTATTTTTTATTTGTTTGAAGTCTGCATTTTGGATGTGCTGATTAGGACACGTTGGAGCCAAGCTTGAGTTCTATGTTCAGGCAGTGTTGTCGCAAGTGCTGAGGCTACTTGTAAGTACAAATAGTGTTCAGGGGAATTGTCGTCAGCCTCATAGATCAAAATTTCTTCTTGACATATCACAGACAGTTATCTACGGGTGGAAGTTATTACTCGTTTATCTGTAGAATGTACATCTTTTTTAAAATTTCATTAAAATTAAGCATCTACAATTGTCTTTGCAGTCTTCTGTTCCTTTTTAACTGCGAAGGGGGAGATTTTCTTCACTATCAAGGGTAGTGTTCCGACATAAACATTTTATGGGTATTTTCTGCCTATATATCAGCATAAACCAAAAAAGATTACTGAGTTGGTCATGCTCATGCAGTCAAAGGGATCCTAAGTAGTTGAGGAATAACTCAATTATTACCAAGCGAAGTTTTCTGTTTTCTGGTACTCACGGATTTGTTGAAATTACAATGCATAGCCTTTTATACAAGCATTTAGCTTTGTTATGCATGAGTAGAACATCTAATATTTCTAGAAGCTCTGCAAGTTTTCACATTAGTTTTGAATCCTGAGCAATATATGATGCAACATGAAGCACTCAAACGATCCAAGTTTCATCTTCTTCTCGTCGTAATGTATATGAGATAAAGTTCAGGTGAATTTATTAGTTTCTTATCAGTTTCCTTGTCGGGTTTCAGGTTCAAGTTTAGAGTTTCAGATACTATCAGTTCAATATCCTAAAACTTCAGCTCCTTGTAATCGGCAAGCTTGAAATCTGATTTGTGTACATAACTCCACAAAGAAGCTTGAAATCTGATTTGTACATATCAGAAGGCAAGCTTTCTTCTTTATTAATTTCACCAAGAAGAAAATAATCACCATCACCGTTTTTGAGAGGTACAAATGCTTAGACAATTCAAAGGACCCGTAGTGAGGAGAGAGCCTTATAAATACTAAAGACCGTCGGTCTCTTGTAATCGGCAAAAAGCAATTCCGTGTGTGGTATCCGACAATTTGACTGAAACATGGTATCTGATTTAGTATAAGTTACTGTTGTGCATATTCCAACTCTCAGTCCAAACGACGTCTATGTCATTTTCTTGTGACATCTTACTGAGATACGGGGATAGTGGCGCTTAAGGCGATTTCCGTGCGTGATGCATGTTGAATTTTTTTGGTCAAAACTGCTTTCCAAAATAATTAAGTTTTCAAACTATATATATTCATGGCTTTCAAGAGGTGGTGTCGTTGAACACTGGAAACATACCGGGAGCAGAAGATAACATGCCTATTCCCAAATGAGAATCCATAATTCGAAGAAAAATAATAATAGGGACACACTCACAACCACACTCTCAATCACACTCCCTCTCTATCTATAGTGGTAGTGGGCCATGCATGATATTTTTAAAAAATATCATGCAGGGCCCACTACAACTATAGATAAAGAGGGAGTGTGATTGAGAGTGTGCCTCTAGTGAGACTCTTTGAAGAACACTTAGTAGTTCTTTACGGTCAAAGCCATCCAGAGCAACCCTTCCTGGTAAGTTCACTTGCAAATAAAACGCGCCTGATAACCGTGCTTTTGAAAGGAGTGAACAAACTCAAAGACAATCTAGAAGCTCCGTGGTGATGGGGACTGTGGGACGTCACCAGCAAACACAAGAATACCCAAAAAGCTACACAAAGGGATTGATTTGAATTAAAGTAAACAAAAGTACCCTAACTTTTGTACTCCATTATTTAAGTTTGGAAGAAAAAGTTAATCAAAGTTAGACAGAAGAAAAATGTTAGTTAAAGAAAACAACCAAAGATTAAGAAAAGTTTGGAAGAGTCAGGCAATAAGCACAAACAAACTTTCAATGAAAACGCGGGAATCGCATTAGGTAAGTGGGGAAGCAAAAAAAAAAAGGAAGGGAGAAAATGTTACGGTCCCTCTCCTTTTTGAAATCAAAAGTTAGGCAGACTAACTTTCGTCAGAAGTTAGTCGGCCTAACTTTTGACAAAGAGAATAACGTGACGAAAAAATAATAAAAAATAAAATAAAATATAGTGGGTCCTGCATAAATTTAATGCTATAAATAGCCTTAGGCAGAGAGAATGATAAAAAAAACAACAACAAAAACGAAATATATACATAAACCAAGCTAGTAATTTACAAGTCTTTCAGAGTAAGGTAGGAATGATCCACATAGGGGGAGGCCAATGCAAGTGCTGTCCAAGATTGGGTATAGGCTTCAGGCTCCCATTCCTCACATCAAACACGCCCATCTCACGTGGCTCGTGTTTGAGGTCGTCAAAGTAGTTGTCGCCTGTGAAGTAGATGCAGTTCCCTCCAAGGTCTGGAAATTTTGTTGCAGAGACGTAAAATGAGGTTATTAATTGCAATAACCTCATTGCAGAGTGAAACCTTTGAATTCACTGTGAGACTATCCCATGATGCGTGTGTTTTTTAATCATGTCTGGAAGAAGAAACAAGTCAAAAGCGAAGGTAATAGCTATCCATTATTTTCATCATGAATGCCACTCGGTCCAGGATTACTCACCATTCCCCCCTCAATCAACCTCATGTCCAGGATGGCTCACCGAACCAAGAGGAGTCGTTCCAAACTAGAGAGATCGTCGTCTATTTCTCAGCCGCACGTCTATTTCTTCCCCAGGAAGCAATGAACAAGATTTTTGATCCGGATTCTCAGCCGCACGTGTCTATTTCTTCCCCAGGAATTTTGCTACCTCCGTAGCATTCGATAATAAAAAAAACAATTGACGCTTGACTTTGATAAAAGAAGTGGATGCTTGGCTGTAACCCTTTATCTTGTGTTATTCGTTTATTTATTGCACTGCCCAACAAGTCGATAATCACCATCTCAAATACACCTGCAAAAAAGGAAAACGAAGAGGGAGGAGAAAAGAATCAAATCAAATATGGTGGTTGTCGGAGATGTGATTGCAAGCAAAATCATTGAGAAGCTGGTGGACGTTGGGTTTGACTACGCAGCAGACCAGTTTTTTGCTCGGCGAAGACGAATGAACGACGAGCTTCAAAGGCTCAAGGATGCTCTTCCTCGTATCCGAGCTGTCGTAAACGCAGCGGAGAGCGGGCAAGGAGAAATAACCGGAGACCTCGACGAATGGCTATGGCAACTTAAGGATGCTGTCTACATGGCCAGTGACGTCCTCGACGATCTCGATTATACTGACATACAGAAGCGAGCGGAGGCGGATGCTGCAGGAAGCGGGCCTCGTGGCAGCAAGGTGAGCGGTTTTATTTCCGATTCTAAACGAAGAGTTTCCAAGTTTAGTAAAAGAGCCTTTAAATCCGACCCCACCCTCGAGAAGCTAAGGGGGGCTGTCAAGAGGCTAAGTGAAGTGGCGGCAGGCGTTGAAGTTTTTAACAGTTTGGTAACAGAGCGTAACCAACAACAACAACAACAACAACAGCAAGAACAACTTCGTGAAACTGGACCTATTGTAAGGGAGAGAGATGTGCTGGGAAGGGATGGGGATACGAAGGAAGTGTTACAGTGGTTGCTGAGGGCGCCCATCGCTAATGAGGATCACGAGGGCATCTCTGTTTTCTCCATTGTGGGCCTCGGAGGAGTTGGAAAGACAACCCTTGCACAAGTCGTCTACAGGGATGACACCTTACAGAGTTCCTTTAGCATCAAAATTTGGGTGTGTGTCTCCACTCGCTTTGATGTTAAAAAGATTATGGGAGACATCCTACAATACGCTACTAATAGGAGACCTGACGTTGGAGGACTTGCCCGACTACAGGAAGATCTCGAGGCCTTGGTGTCATCTAAGAAATTTCTCCTCGTCTTGGATGACGTTTGGAATGACGACGATCTCTCTAGTTGGCAGACGTTGTTTGCTCCGATGAGGTGTGGACTTAAAGGAAGTAAAATCATTTTAACTGCCAGATCAAAGAAGGTCTCCGAAATGGCTACACTAGCTTTGGGAGGGACAGCAAACCAGTCAAAGAAATTAATTCCCTTGGATAAAAGTAACTTCTTATCACTTTTCAACCGATACGCATTTGCTGGAACAAATCCCCATAATCATGGGAAGCTGCAATCAATTGGCGAGCAAATAGCTGGAAGGCTTGGAGGCTTGCCGCTGGCTGCCAAGACGATTGGAGCGTTATTGCGTTCTAACTTGGATGACAGTCACTGGACGAATATTCTGCAATCTAGTCGTATATCAGATCATGGACCACAGAGAGATGGTGTGATGCCGGCTCTGATGTTGAGCTACTATTATTTACCGAAGCACCTAAGACCTTGTTTTGCATTTCTCAGCACCTTTCCTCAAGATCACCGGTTTCTCAAAAGCGATCTAGTTTTAATGTGGATGGCGCTCGGCTTCATCCAACAATCTCCTCAGAATCTAGCACAGGCACCAGAGGATATTGGAAGCCGCTACTTTGATGAGTTAGCCAAACTGTCATTTCTTGAACAATATGATAGTTGGATAAATCCCTCAACTCAATATGATAGTTGGATAAATCCCTCAACTCAAGGACGGGAAGAAGAGTACATCATGCATGATCTTTTGCACGATCTGTCAAGCAAAGTATCTCATGGTGAATGCTTTACGTTTGTTGGAAATATGTCAATCAACCAGATCCCAAACACAGTACGTCATTTGTACTTTGTAACCGGTGATCTTGGTCTTCTCAAAGATATGGACAAATGGAAAAACTTGCACACCCTGATTTTAAAATTCAATGGATACAATGATGAGCATGCCGTGGCTTTCCGACAAGTGTTTGAATCACTAGAAAGCATTCGAGTGCAGCAGAGGAGTATGAAAAGGTGCTCGATTGCCTCCATCCGCCTGATAGCCTCAAGGAACTCGAAATCGAAAGGTACCGAGGTGCAAGGTCTCCATATTGGATGGAAAAAGGTTTGTTAAAAAATCTAGAGCGCGTTGTTCTTTCCGAAAACGCAGCTTGGAAGCACCTTCCTTCTCTCGGGAAGCTTCCCTATCTCAGTGAATTGAGATTGGATTCACTAACAGGACTCGTGCAAATTGGCTTTGAAGGTGGATTTCAGCAACTGAAGATTTTAGACATCCGGCTTTGTGAACAATTGGAAGAGTGGTCCGGATTTGGAGCGGAGACGGCACCTTGCTGGCCTCTCCTTGAATATCTCGGAATCCGGTGGTGTCCCAAACTGAAGGCATTGCCTCCTCTGCCCCTAAGCCTACAGAGCTTGGAGTTATGGGGTGTGGGACTGTCTGATTCTCCAACATTCTTCCCGGCTACTCCATCCTCGTCCTCCTCCTCTCCTTCCCTCACCCACATGGAGATTGCAGGATGTGAAAATTTAACATCAGTGGCCGGCTTGTTTCGGCATCGCCTCAGCGCCCTCAGGAGGTTGAGGATTAGATGTTGCGAAGCTCTTGCGGATCTGCATGCAGAGGAAGGCTTTCAGCATCTGCGCTCCATCGAAAGCCTAGCGATTGGATATTGCCCAAAGCTGAAGATGGCTACCGACGCGGTCGCCCTTACTTCTCTTTCCTACCTTACACTGTCAGGTTGGAACCACATAACATCCTTTCCCTCCGAAGAGGCGTGCAGAAGATTAACTTCACTAAAAGAGCTGACATTGGAAGACTGTGGAGGGCTGATGTCAGTTGAGGGTCTAAAGGCTCTTTCCCACCTTAAAAGGCTATGGATTGAGAAGTGTCCCAAGCTCGTGCAAGCATCAGCAGTAGCAGCAGCGCCAATTAAGGGGAAGGAGGAGGAGGAGGAGGAGTTCACATTAACCGTCGGCGATCTTAGCATTGATGACCCCTTGCTGCTCCACGTTGAACCATTGAGAAAACTCACGTCTGTCACACATCTATGCATAGCGGACTGTGGGAATCTGGAGAGTGAGGGAGACATCAACTCGTGGTTGTTGCGCAACAGAACTTCGCTGCGATCCATCTTCCTGGGAAAGTACAGTACTGCAAAGTCGCTGCCTCGTAGCCTCCAAGCCCTCTCTTCCCTGGACTCTTAGAAATCAGCTGATAGCATTGCTTTCCCTGCCGTCCGCCCATATAATGTTCAATAAACTTCTTCCTCACTTAGACTCATGTGTTTCCTTTAGATATTTTCAAATCTCAAAGTGCTTATATTGTTATATCCAAGCAAATCAAAATTATATAGCCTCTCTGTGTGTAATCTTTCACGAATCAACTTTCTCCTATTGCTACTCAAACCCCTAATCTACTTGCTCGTGCTCACAACTCTTCAAGTCTTCATTTGGTGTCCTGCCAATTCTGATATTGCTCCAGCAATATTCAATTCTCTCATTGACCGCCTAATCATAAATTTTTTTGCAGGTTGAATATGGTAAAAGCGAGTTCAGTAACATCTTTAGGGATATTAAACTTTCAGGCCTATGTAGCCATGTAAAATAACCAAACGAACTTCATATTAGTTCATGTGGAGTTACTGCTTATGCTATGCACTGATATAAAAAAAACAAACCTTGCGTCTCTATTAGAAGTTGATGTTTTTGACTTGTAGAAGAAGTTAGTTTTAGTTTGAACATATTAGTGATGTTTTTTGCCTTATGTCTGTATGAGCCCTACCTATTGATTCATTGAGTAGCAGGCAGGTCCTTTATATTCTATAAGGCACATTTATGTCTGTATCAGAAATGCTTTACAATTCATCAGTATGAGCCTATATCAACTGCGATTATTAACTCCTACAAGTGGGAAAAAAAAAAAAAAAAAAAAAAAAAAACCGGCGGTAAGAAAAAAAAAAAAAACCATGAATCGTTGTTTAGTAATGTTTGATATTGAACTTCTCAAACTTTCTAAATTTAAATCTTTTCTATTTTTTGTGGCATTATAGCTACACGCTGAATACCAATGGTAATTGAACTGCAGGAGTACAGTAATACCATTGGAAGACCAAGATGTACGAGCTTCATTAGGGAGACTTATTATGGTTTAGCCAGCATACGAAGGACCTCCATTGTCCTTTGAATACAGAAGCTTATTACATTTGAAGATTCTTGCAGTCAATATGCCCAACAAATGGGAGAGACAATAGCCTCGCGTCCCTCTAGACCCTCAGACTTCAATCGTGGTTCGATTACCAATACTATCTCACTCTGTCTAGCAGCCTTCGGCTTGCTTCAGAGGCATGAACATTGTTTCGAGAGTGTAGAAGAGAGTTTTATAGAAGTTAGTTTGCGCTTATGCTCAGGTTTGGGAGCTTTCTTTAGGCATTTGTTGCTAAATCTATGATAAAGATGGAGAATTTAATGTGCTTGCCTGCGAACTGAATGGGCAAAACTAGAGAGGAACATTGCTCTATTTCAATGTGTTTAGATGGAGAGTCCAGTGAACAAGATTCAAGTTTTTATTTGCTTGTGTTTAGGATGCCGGTTTTTTGTCTAGAATGCAGTTAATGCTGCGTAATGCAAAACTGATGGAAGTATTGAGATGTTGCATATTTTGATCAGGAGCAATTTTCTATTATCTTCATCACTTGACTTTTTTGTTATGTTCATGTGGGAATGAAGTCCTTTGCAGTATAATATATTTAGGTGCATTCCAAATCTTCACTATTTCATCTCTCTATTCTAATCCTGCGTTGTTGATAATGCGAAATTATGTTTCCTCCTTCTTTTATGTAGTCTACCCGTACATTTCTTATACATCATTTAATTCCAGCGGCTTCAGTCATATACAATGTCATGCTACAGAGTACAAAATTATCAAACCACTGCTAGTTTCTTCCAGATATTGATATGGTGCTGAATTTCTTTTTTAAATTTAATCGTTTTCCCTTTAAACTATTTTGATGATCTCACTTATATATTTAAATAACCTTCCTATATATAAAATTGGTATTTTAACTCTTCCTAAGGCTCTAACCAGAAGTTCCTTTTTTAACGCCATCCAATATTAGCATTTCCAGTTAGATTAGCCCAAACTATGGTGTTCGCCCCTCTCTTGTATTCCTCACACATGCATTATACAGGAGAATATTTGCCAACGGTTTAAAATTTCTGAATAACAATCCAAGACTTATGCTCTACAGTATCAGGCATTCATTCTACTCAACACTGCTCTTTTTATCAGTTCAGGTTGAACAGACAATAAAAAAGTGCATGACAGAGAGCTTTGAGCAAAAACATGGTGAGACTTTAGCATACATTCTTCGCAGTTAACTACAAGCGGACCATTTGAAATCAGGTCCATCACACTACAAAAAAATGAAAATTTTTTACTATAGAAATAAACAAAAACAAAACTGAGACATTACATCAACAGAAATCATTTTACAATCAAAAATATTTACATAAAGCCTATTTTTAAAACTCAATGCGAAAACACTAACTGAAAACTATCTACTAAACACTAGTTAGAAAATGAGCATTAGCCGACGGGGCAATCCCGTCGCCAATACAGCAAAATCCGTTCACCAATACACTTTCCACGACGGCGCAAAGTACCGTCACCAATAATCCTGTCGTCCAATAACATTGCGCGACGGGTACATCCGTCGACCAATGAACAATATGGCGTCGACATGTTTGCGCTGCACGGAATCATTGCGGAGCGGCGCTCTTGCTTCTCACCAATGAACATTCGGTGACGGCCTAATCTCGTCGCCAATGAACAATTGGTGACGCGGCTTTTGCCCGTCGCTAATGCAACATTGGACGACGGCCGTTTTAACCGGAGCCCTCGTCCAATGTTTCATTGGCCCGACGAACAAAGCCCCGTCGCCAATGTTCATTTGGCGACGAGGCAAAAGCCTGTCAGCCAGATGAACATTGGTGACGGGTATATCGTCGCCAATTGTATCATAATCAGTGAAAAAAATTTACTTGCCATATGCAAAACCCCCCAATCGGAAATGGGTACCTGCTTACTATCAATATCTCACAATATATTTGAAACACATTCAAATATATTAAACAATTATTCACTTTTCAATTACATCAACAATTATTCTCTAGCCTAAAGAAGGTAAATCAAATGAGAATATATTCCAAAATACTCATAATAAATACATATATATAATGACAATATATACCTCTCCAACCACTTAGCATTGCGAGATGTATTTTGATTCGTATGACGAGTATTGCTTCGATATTGTGGTCATTGACGGATTGAAGTGAGATGAGTTATTTTATTTGGATTATATGACCGAGTTATTGTTTGAAAATGGTTCTATTGAAACTATAGATTATACAACCAAGCAGTAAATTAAGTTTTACCCAGATATCTGACATTTTCGCCCACAAATATACCCAGAAAATAACAGCTTTCAGCAAGCTCATCAGTTCAAAAGTTCAATGGACGTGGTCATGGTTAATAACCTTGAACCATGTGTTCTAAGTTTTTTCAAAAAATTTACTAATAATATTTATAACAATTAATTTTTTTTTTTTCAATTTTACCATTTTTTTATTTAAAAAAAGGGGCGGCCGCTTTTTAAAAATTTTTTTTCCCTTCATTAGAGAAATATTATAAATGACCAAATTACCTGGATTCGCATCACGTAATTCTGAGGCCCTTCATTTAATGTTCCTAGCCCCTCAGTTGGTTCATTAGCAGCAAAAGAGGTCATAATGCATTTATAGTGCGGAAGCGTTTAAAAAAGATATGCAGACGACAACCTGAAAAACTAAATAAATAAAAGCAACCAGTGATCTGATTGTGAAGGAGAAACCTACTCGACTTGATATCATTTCCATCCAGAATCTATAAAACTTATATCATCAATCATCATTTGTGTCATTGTCATCAGATTAAATTTTTGTTTCCATTAGCAAGAGCCACAGTGCCGAACAAAGCAGGCGACTTCAAACACGATGAAATGCTCGCAAAAAAAGGAAACTCTGCAGAAGAGTAAGCATGGGCAGCCATACTTTAGTATCCAATAGGAAGACCTATGCCTAAACCAAGCCCCATGCCAGGGCCCAGCGCCATTGAAAATACAAAACAATAACCTCACCACAAGAAGAGGAATGCAAAATTGTAAGCCATCTTTCGATTATGCTCAGAAACGTTAGAAGTATCCGCACTATTAGCTGTGTGACCAGGACCTGCAGAAGCTTTCTAAAACTGATGGAAGTATTGGATGTTGCATATTTTGTCAGGAGGCAAATTTTTCTATTATCTTTCATCACTTGACTTTTTTGTTTGTCTCCATGTGCACATGAAGTCCTTTTGGTTAATATTTAGTTGATCTCCAAACTTCGTATTTCATCATCTCAGTGAATTGAGATGTGCGATATTCACAAGCAGGGTCGTGCAAATTGCTTTTGAAGTGGATTTCAGCACTGAATGATTTTATGACATCCGGTGCTTTGTGAAGCAAGTGGAAGAGTGGTCGCGGATTTGGCAGCGGAGACGGCACCCGTTGCTGCCTCGTCGCTTTGAATACTCGGAATCGGCGGTGGTGTCCGCAAACTGAAGTGCATTGCCTCCTCTGCCCCTAAGCCTAACAGAGCTTGGAGTTATGGGGGTGTGGGAGCTGTCTGATTCTGCAACATTCTTCCCGCTACCCATCCTCGTCCTCCCCTCTCCTTTCCTCACCCACTGGAGATTGGGCAGGAGTGAAAATTTAACATCAGTGCGCCGGCTTTTGTTTCGGCATCGCCTATCAGCGCACCTCAAGGAGGTTGAGGAATTAGATGGTTGCGAAGCTCTTGCGGATCTGCATGCAGAGGAAGCTGTCAAGGCATCTGCGCATCCATCGAAAGCCTAGCGGAATTGATATTGCCCAAACCAGCTGAAGATGGCTAACCGACGCGGTCGCCTTACTTTCTTTCTACCGTTACACTGCAGGTTGGAACCCACATAACATCCTTTCCTCCGAAGAGGCGTGCAGAAGATTAACTTCACTAAAAGAGCGCTGGACTTGGAAGACTGTGAGGGCTGAATGTCAGTTTGAGTGGTCTATAAAGGCTTTTCCCACCTTAACAGCTATGGAATTGAGAATGTGTCCAAGCTCGGTGCAAGCATCAGCAGTAGCACAGCTGCCAATTAAGGGGAGAGGAGG